CCTGTACAACAGAAGGCAGAACAGAGAGAAATATTTCTACACAGAGATACACAGAATCAGAGAGAAACAATACCTTAACTGCATGTGTGTCAAGAGAATCTAGACTAATCAGTGAAGATACACCTCTTACCGGCACACACCAGTCCCACATCACTGTCATGAGTGCAGTTGTGTTTGAGTGAAGGTGATGTTGGACAGAAGTGAATCTGAGATTCGTTGCCTCTACACTGAAGATCCTCTGACCACACCTGACCCTCCCCTCTGCCAAAAGCAGCTGCTGCCAGCACCTCCACAGGAAGCCCACAGCCCAGCTCTCGACACACAACCTCTGCATCCTGCTGGTCAAAGCCAGCATCACACACTGTGGACCAGGTCTCTCCATGAAGCACCTCCACTCTCCCAGAGCAGCGTGAATCACCAAGTAGCTTGACTTCTGATATAATGTTGTTGAAACATAATGATTTTATAAAAATTACAGTTCAGCTTTTTACCAGATACAAAATTATTAATTTCATAACTTGGCCATGAGAGCATGCATGTCTCTGAAGAGAAAAGTACAAATAATCAAGTTTGAAAGATAAAAAAGGCAAAATTATTTATTATTAATGAACTTAATGATTATTTTACCAAAATTAAAAGCTATGAAAAGAAATGTGAATGGCAAATTTTTATCTCATTTAATAGAAAACTACAGTTTAGAAAAACATACCTGAACAAATGACCCCAGCATCATTAGAATGAACACAATCATTTCTACTCCATCCTGGCGATTTACAGTTTTTCACTGTGGCCTCTGATCATTACAGTCTACATCATCCATCCAGATTGGTCCTGATCCTGGTCCAAAGTGAGCATCACTCAGTGCAGCTACAGCGTCTCCACAGCCCAGCTCTCTACACACCACTGCAGCATCTCTCATATCCCAGTTATCATCGCACACTGTTCCCCACTGTCCTCTATGAAGAACCTCCACTCTCCCAGCACAGCGACTGCCACCATCCACCAACCTCACACTGACTGTACAACAGAAGGCAGAACAGAGAGAAGTATTTCTACAGAGAGATACACAGAAGCAGAGAGAAAGAATACCTTAAACTGGATGTGTAGCAAGAAAATGTAAGACTAATCAGTGAAGATACACCTCTTACCAGCACACACCAGTCCCACATCACTGTCATGAGTGCAGTTGTGTTTCAGTGAAGATGATGTTGGACAGAAGTAAATCTGAGATTCATTGCCTCTACACTGAAGCTCCTCTGACCACACCTGACCCTCCCCTCTGCCAAAAGCTGCTGCTCCCAGCACCTCCACAGGAAGCCCACAGCCCAGCTCTCGACACACAACCTCTGCATCCTGCTGGTCAAAGTCAGCATCACACACTGTGGACCAGGTCTCTCCATGAAGCACCTCCACTCTCCCAGAGCAGCAAGAACCACCAACCAGCCTGACTCCTAATATTAAAGAGTTTAGGCCATTTTTGATAAGTGATATAATGTCGCTTAGATAAAATTATTTTGTTAAAAAGTACCAAAGCTTAAATTATTTTTCAAAACATGTATGTCTGTAAAGACAAAAAAGATGCATGACAAATTGTATTGTGATGTTTTAATAAATACCAGTGGGCAAATACAACAAGAAAAGCTAATCTCATTAAATAGATTATCGAAATTCAGATAAGCGTACCTGAACAGACGACTCCAGCATCTTTAGAATGACCACAGTTATGTCTACCCCATCCTGCTGATCTACAGTTCTTCAGTGTAGACTCTGATCCACTGCAGCTCATATTATTCATCCAGATTGGTCCTGATCCTGGACCAAAGTGAGCATCACTCAGTGCATCTACAGCCTCTCCACAGCCCAGCTCTCTACACACAACTGCAGCATCTCTCATATCCCAGTCATCATCACACACTGTTCCCCACTGTCCTCTATGAAGAACCTCCACTCTCCCAGCACAGCGACTGCCACCATCCACCAACCTCACACTGACTGTACAACAGAAGGCAGAACAGAGAGAAGTATTTCTACAGAGAGATACACAGAAGCAGAGAGAAAGAATACCTTAAACTGGATGTGTAGCAAGAAAATGTAAGACTAATCAGTGAAGATACACCTCTTACCAGCACACACCAGTCCCACATCACTGTCATGGGAGCAGTTGTGTTTGAGTGAAGATGATGTTGGACAGAAGTGAATCTGAGATTCGTTGCCTCTACACTGAAGCTCCTCTGACCACACCTGACCCTCCCCTCTGCCAAAAGCAGCTGCTCCCAGCACCTCCACAGGAAGCCCACAGCCCAGCTCTCGACACACAACCTCTGCATCCTGCTGGTCAAAGCCAGCATTACACACTGTGGACCAGGTCTCTCCATGAAGCACCTCCACTCTCCCAGAGCAGTGAGAACCACCAACCAGCCTGTCTCCTCCTGAAATATTTGTATGAGTTAATAGAGATTATAGAACGCATATGTTTGAAAATGACAGAAAAGTGTTTATAAATATCTGTTTTTATAAAATGTAGCAGGTTAATAAAGTTGCTTTTCAAGAACACTCAAAATGTAAACTGTCTATAATCATATAAGTTTCCAAACAACCAAAACAGAGCTGTACTGTCAGTTTGATAAAAGTTGAGGTTTCAGCCTATACTACACTTTACAAACGCTAAATATGAATTATCATTTTCAATTTTCCTCTCTCTGTACTTCCAGTATGTTTTCCATATGTTTTGGGACTGTCTTTATATTTCTGAATTTTTTTATGATTTAAAATGATTTTTATGATTTAAAATGATTTAAAATCAAATGATTTATGATTTTAAAGTTATTAGTTGCCACTCTACACATTTAATTTTATTTTTTCTTCTTTGATTCTTTTCTCTTTTTTTCTTTTCTTTGCCTGTCTCTCTTAGATAACCGGTTGTTTTGGACTGTAATACTGCTTATTTTTTTATAAAAGACAAAAACATAAACAACAAAAAAACAAAAACATAAACATGAGGTTTTAAAACATTTGATGAGTCAAAACTCTGACCTAAATTCAATTGATTTATTGAGGTTTATGGAGGGATTAAATAAATAAGGGATTATTATTCATAAAATCACTGTACTGAAGATTACCTGAACAAATGACTCCAGCATCTTCATCATGACTACAGTAATTTTCACCCCATTCTGGGAATGTACAGTTCATCAGTGAAGACTCTGACCCACTACAGCCCACATCATCCATCCAGATTGGTCCTGATCCTGGTCCAAAGTGAGCTGTGCTTAGTGCGTCTACAGCTTCTCCACAGCCCAGCTCTCTACACACCACTGCAGCATCACTAATATTCCAGTTATAATCACAGACTGTTCCCCACGTTCCATTATAATGAACCTCCACTCTCCCAGCACAGTGACTGCCACCATCCACCAACCTCACACTGTCTGTACAACAGAGAGAGAGAGAGAGAGAGAGAGAGAGAGAGAGAGAGAGAGAGAGAGAGAGAATATAGCTAAAGATGCATTACATGGCCAAAGGTACATTCAAATATCACACACATTTGTGCTTCTTGAACATTTCACTCCAAAACCATTAATACAGAGCGTCCACTCCTCTGGGAGGACTTTTCACTAGATTTTTTCAGCATGTCTTCAGGATTCACTTCCACTCTGCCACAACAGCAGAATGTCTGTTTCACAGTTAACGTTCCGATGAAAGCTGAGGTTGGGGTTCTGCACAGGCTAATTCAGTTCTTTCACACCAGCTCAGTCAGTCATTTATTAATGGACTTTGTGCATGAGAGCACTGTCATGCTGAAATAGGACAGAGTCTTCCCCAGACTGCGGCCACAAGTCAGAAGCACACAGTTCTCTAGAGTGTAATTTTATGCTGTGATATTAAGATTTCACTTTACTGGAACAAAGCGGCCCAACACAGACTATAAAAACCAGCCCCAGACTATTATTCCTCCTCCACCGAACTTTACAGCTGGCACTGTGCATTCAGGTGTGTTCTATGATGTGTAACAGTCACTAAAGGCCCACAGACAGATGGACTGGATCAGGTACTGGCTATGTTAAGCTTGATCTGATTCTTGATCCTTATTATTATTTTCATCATATTTACATCACTGTCCTATATGTGACAAACACCGACATTATCCACAACATCCACCACTGAGGACAACAGTAAAATTAGCTTGTAGTTAGCAGTTCAGGATTCTATCAGCTATAACTCTATGATGCAGTAATTTACACCTGAGCTTCATTAGTTCTGATTTGGAAATTCTGATGACATCATCCTCCAAGCCTAAATCCCCCAACACTACATTTCTGAGCTTTATTTTCTAAAGGTAATAAATTCACATTCAAAAGCTGATCAGTCAGATTAATGAGACCAAGTTCAAATAAATCAGGCTGATTTGTGAAAATGTTCACAGTGTTAACTTTGTCTTTTCGAAGGTCTTACAGACTGTGAGTATGGAAAGAGAAAATATGTGGAAAACAGAAATGAAAGGTTACTTACAACACAAATTCCATCAAAACATGAAAATTCACATCTTTTAGGCAGAAATTTATGTGAAGAATTTTCACAAACAGGGCTCAACATCACTGATCACTTCATACAGCTCAATCTCATCAGCATGTGGTGTGTCGATACATTCAGAGCTGAGAATTTCCTGTTAAAAATTTATAATGTACCCCAATCCAAAGGATTACTTAATTAAAAGTGCCATCTAGAGGGATAAAAGCAGGCTTCAATATCAAAAATATTTAGACTAAATAAACATGCAAAAACAGCCAGTTTTGATATTTTTTTTGTAGTTTTATGAAAACCATTGCATTTATATAGATCTGACTCTTCAGACTGTAACAGTCCTACCGTCCATGTTTAAGTTTAAAATTTCTCATTATGACAGATCAGACACAGAAAGAATTCCCAAATATCCTCTTGACTTAAAGTCCCTCATATAAAACTTAAACAAATGTTCAAAGTACAGAGTCAGTGATCCACAACACAGAACACAACACAGAAAATCAATCAATACAATAAAGTAAGGGTTAAATTGACAAATAGAGAGAAAACAACAAAGAGAGAACGAGAAAAAAAGACACAGAGAGAGAGAGAGAGAGAGAGAGAGAGAGAGAGAGAGAGAGAGAGAAAGAGGGAGAGAGAGATTTGAAATGACATACCTTTGATTTTTTGTAGCAAGAATGAGTACATACCAGCTGTGGTGAGTGTGATTGTGGAGGACAGAAGAATGAGAGCCACACAGCTGTCCATCTCCCTCTGACCTGCACACAGTCCGTTCAACTCAGCAACAGAACAAGCTTCACCTCCACTCCCCCAGAGAGACTGAAGAAACAGAGAGAGAGAGAGAGAGGGAGAGAGAGAAAGAGAGAGAGAGACAGAGGCTCCCCACAGCCGCCAATCACACTCACTATGACCTTATTAGAAAGAGGAGAGGAAATCATCAAACATTTTCAGTGACAAATCAGAGGAGGCATTTTTTTCTTTTCCATATTTATCAAAAGAGCGTCAGCGCTGATGAACAGAACTCCACCTCCGTCTCTAGAGGTGTGTGTGTGAGGAGAGACGCTCGCAACAGTGGGGTGAGAAACACACCAACATACAGGAGACTGACTTCAGAGAGAGGAAACACTCCAGTGTAATACAGCATTAATGCTGCACCTGCAGAGAGCTGATCCACACACTGATAACCAGCTCACACAAACTGCTCTGAGTTAGAATACAGAAACACAGAAATGCTAGTTTAGAAATGCTCAGTAAAGTTACAAATGAACTAAACTTACTCACAGATGTTATTTTACTTATTTGAATTGAGGAATGTGTTGCTGTTTAAAATGATTTTGTAATACAGAGAGCTCAGTGTAATGGCATCATGATCTAAAGACACAAAATAGCCTATAATTTGGTAAATACAATATATTTATTATCACAATTCAACACCTTTTCTATTGCAGTCGTTTAACTAATCACCGTTACACAGATAACTGCAGTTCAGCTTTTACAGATGGTTTTGGTTTGATCACTGCAGTACATTTTCTTCTCCACAAGATGGCAGCAGAGGATTAATAATCAGTGAATTTAGTTATTCTGATGAAGTGCATTTTCATTGTACTGACAAGCTGAGGCCACTGCTGGTGTCTTAATGTGGCTGCTGTGGTCTCTCAGATACATGAATTAGGGTAAAAAAAAAAAAAGTGAGTGAGGGAACATTCTTTATGTAGAAAATTTAAAATTAATAATCGGTATCTAATCAAGAATAACAAAACAATCAGCATTCCTGCCCTGAAGCTTGTTTTAAAGTGTAATGCAGTAGATTTTCACTCTTTAAAAACAACAACAAAAACAACAACAACAACAACAACAACAACAACAACAATAATAATAATAATATAATAATAATAATAATTCTGTATTTAATGTACTTAGAAAAGAAGATCACTCAAATTAACACTTGTTATTTTATCACTTGTGGTGATCTTCAAACTGAAAGCTGTGCTCTGTCATTTCTGAGCAGAGTTCGAAATTTGTTGCTGGAAATGAATGTAGTGTGAAGAAAATAAATATTTAATTACTAAAAACTCTGGCGACCACTGGTTAGGTAAATCCTAAATCGCTCAGCTCTAAGGACCTCTAATAGCTTCATGCACTTTTGCCATTTTGTTAGCGTTTTGGCAATAGACTGAACTGTTAAACCTGAACACAAAATGCTGTTGTGGGAGAATAACAAAATGCATAAAATTCATTCAAACGGCACATTGAGCATGAGAATATCTCATGGCATATAGCATTTTGTGATGAACTATGTTTATACATTAAAAAAACAGTTAAACATAAAGGATCCAACATTACCCCTAAGAATGCTGAGAAGCATTTGGGCAATGGATAATTCAGTATGCAGGATTTATCCAAATTAACTGATCTTAAATAGATTCATCCGAGTAACTAAGGATTATACAAGAAATATAAGGCAATATTAGATTTGTATTAGTAATTTCAATAAAAGTAAATAAAAAATAGTGCAATTATGTTTTACAGTGGATTCAGGTTATGTGTGAACTGTATTTATGCACTGTACTATTGCAAAGTTAGAGAAACTCATAGAAACATCAGTTTTTTGGACCCCATAGAGTCAAAAAAGGAAGGTCTTTATGGTACACAATCATTTCCTTTCTAAAATATTTGGAATTAGGATTAAGGTTGGGGCTGGAAAGGGTCATGAGGATTGGATTTTTTTTTTTAAATAATAGGGTACAGTTTTGGGAAAATCAGAAAATTGGAATATTTTGATCACAGTTTTAGATCATCACAGTCTTGAAACATTGGATCATACATTTGAAATAAGGATCAAAATATAGAAATAGGATCACAATATGGCAATAGTAATGACAACATAGGCATTGAATCACAAACTGGGAAGAGTATCCAACCAGAGTCTGTTACAATTATGACATGACAACAGTGTGCTGGAGTTTCCAGAAGTATAATCAACAGCTCAACAGCACTCAGGAAATTAGGTGGTACTGCAACCAATCTACAAACTGATCTTAGAGATCATAATAAAACATATATTTTGCCTATTCACAATATTAAAAATAGATATTTAATTTTGAAAAACATTGCAGATTATCTTTTATCCAGATAAAATTTGCTCTGAGGCTCTAATTAGGGTGTGTGTGTGTGGTGTGTAGGTGTATGTAGTAGAGGAAATTGGTTGGTAGAGGTGTTTGTGTATGTTTGGTAGACATGGTGTTGGGTGTGAGAATGTATGGAAGAGCTGATTAGTGGTGTGTGAGGGTGTTTATGGGAGAACTTGTTAGGTGTGTGTGAGGAAGTGTGTGATACAGCTGATTATGTGTGAGTATTAGAGTGTGCATGTAAGTTGGTTACATGTGTGTTGTTATACTCAGGGTAACTTTAAAATGTATAATGATCAGCACAGAGAAGAGAGGAGTACAGAATTATCTCTCACACCACAGTAATAGATTCAATAAATTACACACTTAAATCATAAGAAATTCCAGATACAGAATTTAGCATGCAGTCATTATTATGCCTGTGTGGATTAATCTCAAATTATCAGGATAATAATCACACAACCATTATAGGTTTGCAAATAACACACGAGAGAAGGTCTGAAATCTGTTTCTTACAATGCACACTGTAAAAAGTAGAACCATGTTTTTGAGGTTTGAACTGATGTAAAATGTTGTGTTTATTCATCTAAATGATACGTTTTTTTTTTTATTTGAGTTGAAAACCCCAGTGAACCCAGAGCCATATGAAGTAAATTAACTGACACACTATTTTTCACAGTGTCGCACAGTATTCAGTGGGTAATCAATGCTTTATAACTTCTCTATAAACAGTTATATGAATGTTTTTAGATGAATTAATGAGATGTGTCAGTAATGGTTTCTAGCTGACTAAGGTAGGTAGACATGTTTAACTATGTGTGGAGGGGTGTGATCTATTATAAAATCTTAAGGTTTATTGTGTTTGAAGATGTTTGAAAAAACCCACATCTTTCTTATAGTGAATATATTCCAAAAACGTCCAAAAGAGGAGAGCAGAAAATAGAGCACCATGCATGTCTGTATAACAGGTAAACTCCAAATCTGACCAAGTTGTTCTTAAAAAATATGTTTTATAATTCTTAAAACACTACCAGGAATGCTATGAAGATGCTACAGGGCTGTCAGTGAATACTGAATGAGTTTATTTCAGTCTGATTTTCCTCCAGGTTAGTCTTTACTCAGCTCTGCTCCTGGGTGGCCAGTGTCCAGCAGATTTCCTTGTTACACAGTTCCTTGTCACTCTGTCACTATCTCATCACTTGAATGCCATGCATTCATTTATCCAGTCATTTGGTCACTTACTCACTTGATCACTCTTTCACTCACTCAGTCTCTTATACCGTCACGGTGTCTCAGAAATCATTGCTTCGTCACTCAATCTCTCACTCTGGCAGTCATGGTCACTAACTCATTTGGTCAGTAACTAACTCACTCACTAAACCACCTACTCTGTCACTTATTCACTTAGCCATTGGGTCACTCATTCACTCGCTCTATCACTAGCTCACTTAGTGCCTCACTTGGTCACTCATTTGGTCACTAACATGTTTATGCACTCAACATTAATTTATTCATTCACTCACTGATTAATGGTCTCATTCACTCAACAACTCAACGCCAGACACACACTCACACACATAAACATGCACACACAGTGATGTAAACCCACCCCCCCCCCACACACACACACTTTTCTTTCTCTCTCTCTCTCTCTCTCGCGCACACACACACACCTGCAGCTGTGTGGTTTCTCTGTATGCACAAAAATGGAAGTTTTACATGAATTTAACAGTTTAACTTCAGCTGCCTAATAGATGTTTATCAGCAGAATAAACGCTTTGTGGCTGAGCTGTTGTTGTTCCTGGATGCTTCCATTTCATAATAATAATAATAGCACTTGCAGTTAAGCGAGGCAGATCTAGCAGGACAAAAGTTTCACAAAGTGACTTGTGGCAAAGGTGACAACTTATGACAGTGCTAGATTTAAAGTCATTGAGCTCTTGTTGTGTTTATTCATCTAAATGAAAAGTTTATGGCCCATTTTACTGACAGTGTTTGTCTATGGAGATTGGATGCAGTGTGCTTGATTTGAAACAACTCCTAAGCAAATAATTAGGATGTCCACAAACTTTTACTGTATAAGTGTTTTTGTCTGGACTACTTTTTGAATGAAACATAATACAAGGCAGCCAATCAGAGCAGAGCTGCACATAATAGTCTTGATGGCACAATAACAAAAACAGCCTGCTTAACTAAGAGCTAAAGGAAGGTTTGTAAAAGGATCATGTACAAAAGAATTATGACTGGTTTCGGCCCGCACAAATTTTATGTGAAAAATGTAGGATATGGATCCTTTAAATAATCTTATACTATTCTTACAACAATCTCAAAATGAGAAGTATGAAACATATTGACTAGATTAAAGATGATTTCACTTTCCAAGATACAACTTGCTTCCAAAAAAGTTGTGATGTGTCACGCTGTGTAAATAAAACTAGAATACAATGATAAGCAAATCATATTAATTCTATATTTAATTGAACATAGGACGAACACAACATGATGCCAGAAACATGTTCCAAAAAAGTTGGGACAGGGGCGTCTTTACCACTGTGCGGCATCACTTTGCTTTTTTTAACAACACTCTGTAAGTGTCTGGGAACTGAGGAGACCAATTGCTGTAGTTTTGAAAGTGAATTTTTTTCCCATTCTTGTATTCATATAGGATTTCAGCTGCTCAGCAGTTTGGAGTCCACCTCTGTCATATTTTTTTGTTCCATAAAGTGTCAAATGTTTTCAATGGATTGCAGGTCCGGACTGCAGCCCAGCTTAGCAACTCTTTTTCTATAGAGCCATGCTGTTGCAATATGTGCAGAATGTGGTTTGACATTGTCTTCCTGAAGTGAGACATTGTCTGAATGGCAGCATATGTTTCTCCAAAACCTGCATATATATTGTTCAGAATCAATGGTGCCTTCAGAGATGTGCAAGTCACCCCTGCCATTTGCACTAATGCACCCCTATACCATCACAGATGCTGGCTGATAACAAGCCAGATCGTCTTTAGCCTGGAGGACGTGGCATCCATGATTTGCAAAAAGGATTTAAAATTCTGATTCGTCAGACCACAGGAGACTGTTCTACTTTCCATCTTAAATGAGCTCAGGCCCAGAGAATGCGGCAGCGTTTCTGTATCCTTTCTATATATGGTTTCTTCTTTGCATGGTAGAGTATGAAGTGATGAGCTGTGTTCACAGACAATGGTTTTCGGAAGTGTCGCTGAGGCCATGAAGTGATTTTCACTACAGAATCACGTGTGCTTTTGATTTTTACCCAATTATCTCCCCAATTTTTAATCTTTTAATGCAGTGCTGCCTGAGGTTCCGAAGATTTGTTTGTCCTTTGCACACTGATTTAAATGATTTGCACATCATTACATTTTATTACATCCTAACACTTTTTAAATTGTAAAACATTTTAATAATTTGCACCATTTCTCAGTGTGACGTCAGTCCAGGCATTTCAGCTCCTTTTGATTATTTTTTGTCTTTTAGAGACATAGGACTACTGACTTTTAATAAATCAATAGAAAATGTATTTTTAATTATGAATAAAAATATGAATATTATATGTAATTGAACTAAATTGGTCACTGTTAGATGTTCATTCATATTTACTTAAAAACGCAGATGATCTGGAAGGCATACAAAAAATGCAATACATTTCAGCTGTTAGACTTTTTACTGATTTATACATTATTTGATTTACTAATATTTATGTTTTTTACAGTTTAGAGGTGGTTGTTACTGTTCTAAATGTAGCAGTAAAAGGAACAGATATCTGAGAAATATAAAAAGGCAAAACAAAAATTAAGCAGCCAGTAAAACAAAAATAAATTCATAATTATAAGCAGATATTAAACAAAACAAACAAAAAAGAAACTCACAAAAGTGAGGTTTTTAGTTAACAAAAATATTTTTTTATTTTTTATATTTTTCATTTTTTGCATAATCAAGATGACTCAGAAAAAAATCTTATTACATTCACTTACATTAAAAGTTATTAAAGTTCTCTTCTCCTGAAAGATTTTTTTATATATTCAGCAAAACTAGCAATTCAAAATCGATGACAGCAGCTTTTGCAGTTAATTAACACTGTGATAAAATTATTTTAAATGGAGTCAAAAACCCCAAAATCCAGCAGACTCCTCTGATCTGCACAAGTGACTCCAGCGTCCTGTCTGTGGGAGCAGTCAGTGTGGTTCTTCAGGGAATGAGGACAGTCCCACAGGTGAATCTCATTCCCTCTACACTTCACTCTGTTCAGCCAGATAGGTCCTTCACCAGCACCAAAGACAGCACTCCCATCAGCACTCAGCGCCGGCCCACAGCCCAGCTGCCTGCAGACCACCTGAGCATCCCTTATGTCCCACAGATCATCACAGACGGAGCCCCATATTTTATTATGATACACCTCCAGCCTCCCAGAGCAGCTTTCATTTCCTCCTCTCAGCCTGAGAGGCAGGTGATCTACATAACACACATCACACATGAGGAGATACAGAAACACTGATGAACCAGCATCATCATAGAACTAACAACAATACAGCTATAAAGTCAAACAAGTTTTCACTCTTCGCACAACAAACTGATTTAAATTGGAAAATACAAATGTATTAATAGTTGTGTGAAAAAAAACATATTTGTAGCAAAATACTTTAGTTAATGAAATATTGCTGTTGTTTGTGAGAGTTCTTACTTGAGCACTGTCTGTGATGGGGAGTTGAGGAGCGTTTTAGATGTCTTCGTAATACACGTTCATTTTCACCTTCTGTGAGGTTAGTAAGATACTTCACTAAGCATGGAATATTAAGTTCTTTGACTCTATATGACAACATATTATGTAAAACTATATGTTTTATATTTCAATATGTACATTTTTTTACATGTTTAAGCCAGTTTTATTCCTCATGTGATTTATTGTTAGTATGCAAATTTACACACACTCTGTCTACCTGAGCAGGTAATGTGAGCCACTTCATTGCGATAATCACAACTATTCTGTCTCCAGGGTGAAGATGGACAATGCCATAGAGTGGAGTCATGTTTCCTACATTTCAGATTATCCAGCCAGTTAGGAGCTGATTCCACTCTTGCTCTGGTAGGTCTCTCACTGCCAGATCTTCCACAGTTCAGCTCTTGACAGATTAAACTCACTGTTTCTTCAGTCATTCCATTTACACACACATTACCCCAGGTTCCATTGTAGAACACTTCCAGATTCCCCTCACAGCCCTCAGTGAGTCTGATCTCTTTAAACTCTGGTGGGAAAAAGATGATGGACACTGACAATTTATTTATTATTTATTTATTATTTTGCTGAATGCTTTATGAATTGTTAATTCGGGTTATTATGCCATATGAATCAGTTTCTCAAAAACACTGGACAATCTGTAATTAAGAATTGAGGATCATCAGTATGTCTGGACTTTCTGTGACGCGTGTGTATTTGAATCGCAGTAAAACTGTGTAGCATAAAAATTCCATTTATTGATATATCTCAAAATCTTTTCACTTTGTAGACTTATATCCTTTTGATTTATGGGACCTCAGTATGGGATCACACACTCTTTACCTGAACACACGACTCCTACATCTTCCTTGTGTCCACATTCATCCTCTCCACACAGCTGAAACCTGCAGTTCCACAGGGACGTCTCGTTCCCCTCACACTCCACCTCATTCAGCCAGATGGGTCCAGTTCCAGGTCCAAACTGGGCTGGTACTGGAGCACTGAGGGCCACTCCACACTGCAGCTGTCTGCAGACCACCTGCGCATCCTTAATATCCCACAAGTCATCACACACTGTCCCCCATGAGCCGCTGTGGAAAACCTCCAGCCTTCCTGCACAGTCTCCCCCAGAACCAACAAGCCTGATGGAGCTATGAGCTAAATTAAACTTACCTACACACACACACACACACACACAAGAATTCACCATCAAAGTCAGTCCATTACTTGTATTTGCTCCACTATGTAATCTATCTATTTATTGTCTCTGGTAATCATTCATGTCTCACAAGAGCAGTATATTTTGGATTTGAGCAACTGTATTATGTCAAATTAGTGTTGACTATTGATAATACTTTTGTTGAACACATAGAATTCAGAACTGCAGAACTGTAACACTTACCAGAGCAGGTGATTGAGAGCTGCTCTTTGGAGCTGCAGTTGACTGCCTCTGCGCTGCTGCAGTTCTCCAGATGAGCTTCACTCCCAGTACAATTGAAACCCGTCACACACATGTGTCTGTGTTCAGGACTGGATGTAGAGGAGCTGGAGAAGCTGAACACAGAGCCACAGCCCAGCTGTCTGCAGACCACAGAGGCCTCGGACTCACCCCAGGAGTCCAGCAGAACTCTCCTCCAGTCCTGCCTGAAGTACACCTCCACCTCCCCCTCACACTCCATCCCTCCAGACAACCGCACTCGCCCCTCATGAAACGCCAGAGAGGAAACTGAAGAAGAAAAATATCACTTACCTAAACAGGATCTATTGGATGTGGCATTTAATTATCATTTTCTAACATAATGTACATTATTCTAAAATGGATAATACAATTTGTATTGGCTTACCACTGCAGATGACTCCAGCATCCTGTTTATGAGAGCATGCAGTTTGACTCCATGATGAAATGGGACATTTTGACAGGTGTTTTTCATTCCCCTCACAATCAAACACATCAGCCCAGATCTGGCCAATCCCCTCCCCAAACCGGTCTGACCCCAACACAGCCACGCAACATTTTCAACCGCTTTGAGTCAGATATATCTGGGGCATAGCATATGCTGGGACCAGGTGCATAGTCATGGGTAGGCCTGGGTCTACTGAGTTTGATCACAGGTCTACCCAATCAAATGGAGAAATAATATTTATTAAGCTCCAGTTTTAGGAAAAAGAAATTGATTTATTTTCTGTGAGTGCTGTCAGTGTCTAAACATTACACTCTCCACCTCATTCCTGAACATGTAATATAGCCTCAGACTTCAATCATTGTAATCAAAATATATAGCTTCAGCTACGGTCAAAAGATGTGCCTGAAGGATCTGTAAAAGTGAAACCATGACAGAGTACAGCATGTCATTTTCTACTGATTTGTAAAGCCTTTAAAAAGTTGCTGTATATTTGGTCTTCAAATTTGGTACTTATAATGCACTTTTACTGCAAAACTAAAATGGCTATGTCAAAATATCAAGGCAATGTCTACGTCCACATTTTTGTGAAGACTAACGACAGCTTACCTGAGCAGATGACTCCAGCATCTTTACCATGAGAACAGTCAGACACCCCCCATCCTCTTGAACTACAGTGCTCCAATGCAGACTCTGATCCACTACAGCCCACTTCATCCATCCAGATTGGTCCTGATCCTGGTCCAAAGTGAACTCTACCCAGCGCATTTACAGCCTCTCCACAGCGCAGCTCTCTACACACCACTGCAGCGTCTCTCATATCCCAGTCATCATCACACACTGTTCCCCACTGTCCTCTATGAAGAACCTCCACTCTCCCAGCACAGCGACTGCCCCCATCCACTAACCTCACACTGTCTGTACAACAGAGAGAGAGAGAGAGAGAGAGGGAGAGAGAGAGAGAGAGAGAGAGAGAGAGAGAGAGAGAGAGAGATTTAAAATTATATAGATCATTTATTACTGAAAGTGGACAGTGTACTTACCAGCTGTGGTGAGTGTGATTGTGGAGGACAGAAGAATGAGAGCCACACAGCTGTCCATCTCCCTCTGACCTGACAGAAATGGAGAGAAAATGTGAGAGTGTAAGAGAGAGAGAGAGAGAGAAAGACAGAGAGATAGAGAAACAGATAGAGAGAGTCACATGTCACATCTTTGTCTTGAAACACCTATCAATGGTCTTGATCTTCTCTCACCCTCACCTGCAGCTGGTTTGCCGATTTAGTCCGTACTGTATAAGAACACTGTGTTTATTTTTATTAGGTTTTGAAAACTGTGTGCAGTTACAGCTCTGAACTGGTTCCTCCTCTGAACTCTGGACTCTTTTATTTACTCTCTCTCTTGATTTTTCGGAATTGGTGGCTATTTTGGTTGCTATTTGTTGTGTATTTGCTCTGTGAAGTCGACCCTGGTTTTCTGGTCTGTTTTATTTGGTTTGGGGATTTATCATTAACTGATTTGTGCTCATATTGATTTTTTCAAAGCTGCTTCTTCTTTACTTGGTGCATGGAGAGCAGCAGTAGTAGAGACTAATCGCAGAAAATGAATTAATTAATTAGGATTGGTCAGGTGCTGAATTTATACAGGCTGTTACTGTACAGCACATCAACCTTCACTAAAGAGTGTCAACTAAACAGCCATTGTCATGTGAATGTCTATTCACACCATCACCACATATAATCTTTAAAAAGGCAGTTTACATGTGCCTGAATGGCAAGAAAAGCAAAGTAAGCTACTAGCCTGTCAATTAACTGAAGTGAAAACATCAATGTTAGCTTTGAGGAAAAAACAGAGTAGAAAACCTGACATTAGTTTAACTTGATTTTAGTCTCTCCGTTCATAGCAAAGCTCTGGATTAGGTGACAAATATAACACGAACATGCTACTTTTATCTCTTTGAACCTTATGCTGTTTTTAAGATTTTCTTAATTTCTCAGCTTATTACATTTTAAACAGACAGCAAGAGACATGTCTCTGAGTCTTATTTAATTGGCCACTCAGTCTCCTGCCTCAGTGTCATTCTCCTGCGTCTGCCCTGTCCAGCTCTATTGCTGGGAAAAGCTAATAGTGGGGGAAAGATTATTAGCTGCATGTATTCACAATCTTAGGTATTTATCAGGTATCTCAGAGTAAAAATACCGATCTAAAGCAGCTCTCATCAGTCTATATAGTCTTATAGAGAGCATTGTAAATGGCATGAACTGATCCCAGATCAGTATTCATACTCTGAGAACTTTGATGATTATGGGCCATTGAGAGTAGCATCCACACACATCAGCCAAGAATGAAATCCAAGCACCTGCTGAAATGACTCATCCTCCAGCCACCTAAGTGTTGACCTGATGTGTTCATGTTAGGAAGATCTGGCAGAGAACGTAAGTGTGGGTGAGAGGGTGTGTGGTAGAGCTGGTTAGGTGTGTGTGAGGGTGAGTGTGTGACCAGCTTCTCCCGCTCCACATAAGCTCTGTTCTGGACGCTGTCCAGGGTCCTGCAGGAGCTTGAACTCTGTGCTGCTGAATTAGAGCGGCTGCAGCTGATCTGAGAGCTTCAAGCACCCAGTCAGAGTTTCACATCATCAGATAGAGGTACATCAAATTACATTCATCCTGATTCAACTCATGAATATAAATGCAAGTCTTTACACATCTGATCTACACAGTTCATCCCACTATAACTCAACCTGACCTTCCAGATCAGTGTAATATTCTCTTAACCTCCAGTGAGAGTCAGTCTGATTGTGTATTCCATGGATTCTGCTGGTGGCTCTGAGTCAGTCTGACTCTCACAGTGATGTAGTTTGTGGTAGAGAGAACATAATGACATGCAGAGAGTTAGCAAATCCACATTTTATTAAAACACCACACTGTACTGCACGTGTTTTATGTGGATACATTCAAATCAAAATCAAATCAAATCAAATCAAATCAGATTTATTGTCACATCACAAGAGTACAGGGACACAGGTGAGTGAAAAACTTGAGTGCGAGTTCCACAAATTATGCAGAGAACAGTATTTACACATAGATAAACAAAACTATAGATAGGATAGAAGAATAGATAAAACCAATTTAACTAAAATATATACATATAATCTTACACAATAACTTAAAAATAATAATATTGCACCGAGACATATAATATTGCACTGGGAATGTAGGGTGGGTGTAATCAACTATATACTATATATAGTCATGGATATTACAATGCTATGTGGATGTGCAAATAATCACACTAGGTGTGGAGGTAGAAGATGGTACAGTAGGTGGCAGAGTATTTAGTAAAGTGCAAGGTACAGGAAGTTAAGTGGAAGCGCAGGGGGAGAGTATTGTCTTTGGATAGGTATTCAAAGTCCAGCTATGCAAGTAAAGTGCGGGAGTACAGTGGGTGCACGTACGTGTAATGGGAAGGGTTGGGCTGGGCAGAGCAGTGATTACTGGCTGTTCAATAGCCTGGCTGCATGGGGGAAGAAGCTGTCTTTGAGCCGACTGGTTCTGGCTTTTAAGCTTCTGAGCCTCCTACCACTCGGCAGCTGAGAGAACAGACAGTGACTAGGATGGGAGGGGTCCTTCATAATCCTTCTGGATTTCCTCAGGCAGCGACTGGTGTATAAATCCAATAGGTTAGGGAGCTGAACCCCGGTGATGGACTGTGCTGTCCGCACCACCCTCTGCAGAGATTTCCTCTCACGAACAGTACAGTTCCCGTACCAGGTGGTGATGCTGCCCGTCAGGATGCTTTCCACAGTGCAGGTGTAGAAGGTCTTAAGGATGCTGGGGTTCAGGCCAAACCTCCTCAGCCTTCTGAGGAAGTAGAGGCGCTGGTGGGCCTTCTTCACCACCTGTGAGGTGTGCATTGCCCATGTCAGGTCCTCGCTGATGTGAACACCGAGAAACTTAAAGCTGCTGACCCTCTCTACCGCAGTCCCATTGATGGAAATCGATGGGTGTACTCTCTCCTGCTTCCTGAAGTCCACGATCAGCTCCTTGGTCTTACTGACGTTTAGAGAGAGGTTATTCTCCTGGCACCAGTTTTCCAGGATTTTAACCTCCTCTCTGTAGGCCGATTCATCGCTGTTGGAGATCAGGCCCACAACTGTTGTGTCGTCAGCAAACTTTATGATGACGTTGGAGCTGTGTCTAGCAGTGCAGTCATGGGTGTACAGGGAGTACAGGAGCGGGCTGAGCACACAACCCTGGGGGGCTCTGATGTTGAGGGTCAAAGAGGAGGATGTGATACTTCCCATCCTTACCACCTGCCGTCGGTCCGTCAGGAAGTTCAGGATCCAGCTGCACAGTGTGCTGTTCAGACCCAGATCCCGGAGCTTGCAGTCGAGCCTCGAAGGAACGATTGTGTTGAATGCTGAACTGTAGTCTACAAACAGCATTCTCACATACGTGTCCTTCTTTTCCAGGTGGGAGAGGGCAGCGTGCAGGGTCAGGGCGATTGCATCGTCGGTGGATCTATTCCGCCTATATGCAAATTGCAGTGGGTCCAGGGTGGCAGGCAGTGAGGAACAGATGATATCCCTGACCAGCCTCTCAAAGCATTTGCTTACGATGGAGGTCAGGGCAACAGGTCGCCAGTCGTTCAGACAGGTAATACTAGCTGTCTTTGGAACTGGCACAATGGTGGCTAGTTTGAAACTAGCTGGCACGACCGAGAGAGACAGTGAGGTGTTATAGATGTCTGCAAAAACTCCTGCTAGTTCCCTGTAGCAGGCTTTAAGCACTCTCCCGGGAATGCCATCTGGTCCTGCTGACTTGCGTGGGTTCACCCTCTTGAAGGCTTTGCACACATCAGCTACGGAGACGGAGGCGGGGTTGGGATCAGCGGTGGGCGGGGCGCTCTCCAGTGGTGCTGCGGGAATTCCGTCGAAGCGAGCGTAGAAGTTATTAAGCTCGTCCGGCAGATCAGCGCTGGTACTGGGCAGAGTGCGAGAGGCAGTTTTATAGTCAGAGATTGTATTTAACCCCTGCCATAAGCTTCGTGTGTTGGCTGTGTTGAACTGTGCTTCCACTTTCATTCTGTACGCACGTTTAGCTGCTCTGATGGATTTACGGAGAGCGTAGTTGGATTGCTTGTACTCCTCCGTATTTCCCGCTCTGAATGCAGCGCTGCGTGCGCTGAGGGCGGAGCGAACCTCACAGTTCAGCCAGGGCTTCTGATTGGGGTAAACGCGGACTTGTCTGCAGGGCACTACGTCATCAACACACTTGCGTATGAAGGCGGTGACTGTGTCTGCGTACTCGTCCACGCTGCCCGACGAATCACGGAACATTTCCCAGTCCACATGATCAAAACAATCCTGCAGCATAGCATCTGATTGGTCAGACCAGCGGCGCACCTCCCTGGTAGTGACCGGCCCCCGTTTCAGCTTCTGCCTATAGGTGGGCAGGAGCAGGATGGAGGAGTGATCTGATTTGCCGAACGGGGGTCGGGGGAGGGATTTGTAACAGTTCCGGATGCTGGAGTAAACATGGTCTAAAATCCTGTCTTTCCGAGTGAAACATGTTACGTGCTGGAATAATGTCGGACAGTAGGTTCGCAGGTTATTCCGATTAAAGTCCCCCGCAACAATAAGTGCAGCCTCCGGGCGGTCATCTGCTTGCTGATAGCCTCGTGTAGCTTCCCGAGCGCGAGGTCCGAGTCCGCCTGCGGGGGGATGTACACCGCGGCCAGACAGAGTCCCATTATCTCACGGGGCAGCCACGCCGGCCGGCAAAACACGATGAGATATTCCAAATCCGGCGAGCAGAAAGACTCGATGAAATGTACATTCCTCCGATCACACCAAGCGTTATTGATCAGAAAACATACACCTCCTCCTTTGCTTTTCCCGGAGAACTGCTTGGTTCTATCGGCGCGGTGCAGAGAGAACCCGGCGGGTTCGATGGCATTATCAGGGACCTCATCGGATAACCACGTTTCTGTGAGGCAGATAACGCTGCAGTCCCGGATCTCTCGCAGGAAGGCGACCCGTGCATGAAGCTCACACAACTTGTTTTCCAAGGACTGCACGTTAGCCAGTAATATGGTGGGAAGAGGCGGCCGATGGGCACGTCGTCTGAGTCTGACGAGCACGCCGGCTCTCTTGCCTCTTTTCCGGCGTCTTCGACGGGTGCGTGGCCGGGCGGCCCAGATGAGTGGCGCCTCTCCAGTGTTAGCAAACAAAGGATCGGCGTTATGGAACTCAAAGTCCGGTTTCCGGTGAGTGATCGACGATCTGATTTCCAGAAGTGTTTGTCGGTCGTAGGTGATAAAACCAGTAACATTTAGTGCAAAAAGAGTTAAAAATAAACACAAAAACAACAAAAAACTGCAAAAGTAAGCGGGAGCTCGCAACACGGCAGCCATACTCGGCGCCATCTTGGAAACAAAAATTCATATTGTTCATAAACATAACTGTTGTATAT